TAAGCGTATATAACTTATACATTTCACGCACACCGATATTCAATACTTTAAACTTTCATACTTTATACACAGTTTATTTAAAAAGAAAATGGCGCCGAATCGTCAACATCATACCGGAAAAGTGTCTGTTGAGTATAAGCAGGATTCGACAAAACGTGCTCAAAGTAAATATCGTCGGCGAGAAACACTGATTAAAAAGGTAAAGTAACTGTGCGCAGTGCTATAAACAAGCATCAGCTCATTTGTAATTTATGTATCATTTATAATTTTTAAGTGACATTTATATTTTTTGTTTTAAAACAAATTCGTACATAATGTCAGTTAAAATCTGCGTTCGTTACTGCGCTAGTAGTGTTATAAGCTACTCAACAAAGCATCGAATTATTTATGCATATATACCGAATGAGATAATATCCCGATCAGGCTATTTTGTATATTCCCATTGGAATTTACAAAATCGTGAACGGTAGACCCTTAAACCAAGACTAGAGCACCTTTGATTCCGACTCAGTTTCTCATCCGCTTTCTTATGCTATATTCACTTTTGTGCAATAACGTCACGATTTTTGCGGTAACGATTTTTTCCAAAATGTTTTGCAAAAATATCCCGATCAGGATATAAATTTTCTGTGATATCCCGTTCGGGATATAGGGTATATCCCGAACGGGATATTTATCCCGCTCGGGATATCGCTCGTGAGACCGGAATGCCTTAGGGATCACGGGCACCGATCCGGATCAAAGAAAAGGATCAGCACTCATGACCAAACCGAAATACAAATTACAAAAGTACTGTTATACTTGGAAACGCCACCGCCAGTGAATCACTAATTCCTCATTCCACACTACAGTCACCTTATAAACATCCGGACAGAGCCGTCTAAGGTATCTATGCACAACTAGCAACTGAAAATTTCTTCCCTACAATCAAGGTACATACCTCGCCTCTGACCAATATAACTATACTACTATTAATACCTCATCATTTATCCTTCAAAGAACACCACTGCCGCAGAATCACTCCCTATTGCTTTTACATTGCAGAGATCTGATCAGGATACTGAAGGACCACCTGATCACTCCCTAGGGTAATATACTAATAAACATCTCGGCAATGCTAGGTCGCATCT